GAGGTTTGGGGGCTGATAGGAGTGTGGGTGAGGGATCACTTGAAGGAGCATGAGTGACCCCAAACTGTTCAGGCACACCTCTGAAGAGTTGTATCCCAGCATAAATAACCATTTCCCCAGAGCTGCAGAGATGGAGGCCCTCTTCTTCTATGTACTCCAGCATCTCCTAGGACTATACACAGTGCGGCAGAATTACATACAGCTAGGAGACTGATGGAAGGAGGAGTGGCTGAGATTTCAGATGAGGGTCTATAGACACCTAAACACACACACACGTGCACACAACCACGCCCACATGTGCACACACATGCATGCACCATGAACACACACACATACACATTTCTATAAGAGAACACCACCAGATGCAGTCTCGAAGGTTTCTTGCAGGCAGCAGTAGCTCCTGTGAGCATCTTGTTGGCTGTTATGCTCCGAGGCCTGAATTCCACGAGAGGCAGATACAAACCCCGGGCTCCTGCTCTGATCTGTGTCTCACTGAAAGATCTTTGATATCGTGGGACTCCCCTGAACAGATTGGTGGATCCCAAGTCTCTTACCAGGCCTGGTAATGCCAATCTCTACAGTTAGGCATCAGCTACTCTGGCTCAGTTTACCCAGAACAATGTACCCGGAACACAGTAACCTTAGCATCTAGGGTACCCAAGGCATATCATCATCCTTCTCCCTATCTCCCTACTTCCACGGCTTCATCTTCTTTTCTCCTCTTCCTCCCCATGGTGGCTAGGACCCTCCAAGGAATCAATCCTGTCTAATTGCATACAGCAATGAGGGGGAGGAGATGCTGTTTGTTTAAGGACAGAAGACAGCACAGTTATTTTTTACTTATTTTATTACAGTGTGATCACCACAATCGAGAGTATGATTTGCTTACTGAGTAAAGGCAAAGATGTCAAAGTTTCTGGAGCAGCAGAAAGGAGCCACCAAATAGTCGTCAGCATGCAGGGAGCAAGAAAGCGCTTGGCTCTGTTTTCCTCTCTGACAGACTCTGGAGCAGGTGCTGCACCTCCAACATCCCCTTTCCTTTCAGACATTGAATAATCAGACTTAAACAACCTTCCTTCATCCCCCCAAAAAAGGTGCTCTCTAACTCCAGCTTGGCAGAACATTCCATCTATCTTTAGAGGAAAGAATTTATAAATATTACCTCTACTTTCATGTGCTTTCACTGAGCACCCTCATAAATCAGGACTCGAGGCTCCCACACTCCCAGATATATAAAGCTCGCCTCTGACTGCTGGGTTTCCAATTTTAAATCCAACACAGGCCAGCCTCACTGGCTCCTGTTTATCCCTACAGATTCCAGAGGCCAGTTCAAAGACGCTGAGAACCAGCCGGCTAAAAATGGCCTATTGTTCCTGCCAGAGAAATATAACATGAAAACTCACATACTGGATGAAAGAGCTTTATATAGCATGAAGCAATGGGTGAAAATTATGTTTTGTTTGTTTGTTTGTTTGTTTTAAAGAAGGAACAGAGAGGTGGAGGGGGGAGGAGGGAGGGGGATAGAAAAGAGAGGAGACGGACAAAATAAAACAAGACAAAATCTACAACTGCTACTGGGAAAGGTATGGGACCAGCCCACATGTCGATCTCTCCATCACCTTGCTTTTCCTATGATTATTTCCAGGACAAGTCCTCAGCTAGGACTCTGAACTGGACAAGGGAAGGCAGGGGTTGACCTTGGAGCCACAACAGAAAGACTCCTCTAACCCACTCCTACAATGAAGTTCAAGTCTGGCTGACAGGTGCTGGGTGTAGGACAGGCTAGCTCAGTTCCCTGCATGGGAGAGAGGGCCTTGACATGGACCTAGGAATGAGGACAGAACTTCCACATTCAGAGAATATAATATGGAAACAATCAACGTTTCCTCCACACCTTCACCAGATGCTTCACTTCTTCCTAGAGCACTTAGCACCACCACCCAGGAGGGCAAAGGAGCTGAGCATTACACACTTCAGTGTCTGAAAACTAAATATCAGGTAGGCCCAGGATGTTTTTACAGCTCAGGCTGCACACCAGAGCGGCTGATCTAGGGATGGGCCATGGAAATCCAACCACATGTAGCCCTACCAGCCCACAGGAGACTCTCACCTCCCATAGTCACTAACCTAGCTGATTTAATTTATAGCACATGAAAAGCCCCGAAGACTCTGGTGTACAGTCTCCCATGACAAAAGTGGCGCTTTTACTGGGCACGCCAACGCAAACCACTCACCACCAAATCCTCAAAGTAAATTAATATGGCAATACTTTGATTCACTCTTTTTTAAATATATATATATATATATATATATTATTTAAACATATATATTATGTATACAATATTCTGTCTGTTTGTCTGCCTGCAGGTCAGAAGAGGGCATCAGATCTCATTTCATATGATTGTGAGCCACCATGTGGTTGCTGGGAATTGAACTCAGGACCTTTGGAAGAGCAGGCAATGCTCTTAACCACTGAGTCATCTCTCCAGCCCTTGATTCACTCTTTTTAAAGATTGAGACTTCAAGACTTTAAATAAGTTTCAGCAGCTTAAGCTTGTGATTGACCCTATGTCAGACTGGCTCCTATGTTCGTATTCTACCTGTCATGCCAAGAAGTAGCGCTGAGAGCAAGCAGAACTGAGAGCAAGTATATCAGCTCTAACAGAGGCTGCGAGCTCAATAAGGGCACTACAGCAGAGACCTCCACAGAAAGGCCTATGATCAGGGAGCAGAACGGAGTTGGAGAAAAACACAAGCCATTGTCATTGTCCTAAGCAACTGGGAGGCTTTTTGGCTTCTCAGCATCCATAACAGAAGGAAGAATCTGACTCCCACAAAAATACACATCATGAGGGTCCAGATAATGGGCCTGTTCCCATTTCAAGGGAGCTGTTCTCCAAGCATCATACGTTGGAGTTCTATTGGCGACACTATAGAATATGAGTGCATTTGGAGGTAGGGTCTGTGCAGAAGGAATCAAGATGAAATGAAATCATTAGAATTAGTCCTAATCCAATATCGATGGAGTCCTTATAAGCAAGAGAAATTTAGACAAAGGCATGCATTCTTGTAAAGATGCAAGAAGGTGGCCATCTATAAGACAAAGAGAAAAGTTTATAGCAGACTCTTCCTTACACCCCTCAGGAGGAAGCCTCTCCCACAAGGAATCTTGGACATCTGCACTCTAGAACTGTAAAAGCACATTTCTTTTTTTCTTTCTTTTTAAGAAGTCCAATCTACAGCACTCTGATACAGAAGTCTCAGAAAACTAATGCATTCACTCTAAGAGGAGGTGAAGGATATTCATAGTCTATTTCTCTTTACTCCCAGGCCCACAGGGTGGCTGCAGACTTTTTTTTCCAAAGTGTTCTTCTTCTTTGTCCAGCTCTGATTTAAGATGAACATTTGAATGCATTGGCACAGGAGACTACTTCCTAAATATAACAGCAGTAGCACAGACACTGAGAAACAATTACTAAATTGGACCTCCTAAAATTATGAAGCTTCTGTAAAGCAAAGGACAAGACAAAACAACAGCCTAGAGAATGGGAAAAGATCTTCATCAACCCCACATTGGACAAAGGGCTGATCTCCCAAATCTACAAAGAACTTAAGAACTTAAGAAATTGGTCAACAAAAGAACAAATAATTTAATTTTAAAAAAAAAAGTAGGGTACAGACCTAAACAGAGAACTCTTCCAACAGAGGAATCTCAAATGACTGAAAGAAACTTAAGAAAATATTCAACATCCTTAGCCATCAGAGAAATGCAAATCAAAACAACTCTGAGATTCCATCTCACCCCTGTAAGAATGGCCAAGATCAAAAACACTGATGACAACTTAAGCTGGTGAGGATGTGGGGGGTAAAGGGAACACTCCTGTATTGCTAATGGGAGTGCAAGCTGGTACCCCTTTGGATTTCAGTATGGTGATTTCTCAGAAAATTAGGAAACAACCAACTTCAAGACCCAGTAATACCACTTTTGGGTATATATCCAAAGGATGCTCAATCGTGCCACAAGGACATGTGCTCAACTATGTTCACAGCAGCATTATTTGTCATAGGCAGAACCTAGAAACAAACAAAATGCCCCTCAGCTGAAGAATGGTTAAGGAAGATGTGGTACATTTACACAATAAAGTACTTCACAGCAGAAAAAAATGACATCTTGAAATTTGCAGGCAAATGAATGGATCTAGAAAACATCATATTGAGTAAGATAACCCAGACCCAAAAAGACAAATATAATATGTACACTCTCATACGTGGCTTTTAGACATAAAGCAAAGAAAAACCAACCTACAATTCATAACCCCAGAGAACCTAGAAAACAAAGAGGACTTTAAGACAGACATATATGGATCTAATCTACATGGGAAGTAGAAAAAGACAAGATCTCCGGAGTAAATTCAGAGCGTGGGGATCATGAGAGAGGGTAGAAGGGGAAGGTGAGGAAGGAGGCAAACAAAGAAAAATATATAACTCAATAAGAATAATAAAAGCTAAATAAAATTTAGGTTCATAGAGTCTTAGATTTGTATATTATAGGGTCATTTCAATTCCCCACCCTAGACAAAAAGCTTAAGAGCAACAATATCCTTGAGAGCGACAATATCTCTAACCATAATAGAGAGTTCGATGGTGCCAAGTGTCCAGTCCAGTGGTGGATAATTCCTATCCTTAGAAAGGCCATCCTTTGATTAGCCTGAAATATGTCTTCATGCAACTTCACCTATCCAACTTTTCCTTCTTTTTACACTTAGACGGAATGTAGAGCATCCAGAGAGAGAAGAGCCCCTTAGCCATGTGTGAGCACCTCTAGTACTGTACACTATGCTGTATCTCCACTCCATTTTCTCCTGGCTGAAGAGCATTCATCCCCTCAAGACTGTCTTACACAACCCATCCTCAGGCTCCCTCACTATACTAGTTGCTCAGTTCTGGGAAACTTGTCAACTCTCCCAAATCTTTCATGTTGATAGATTCCAGATCCCCAGCAAAATTCAACCAATATCCATAGTGAAGGAACGTCTCCTCCCTATCCTGAACATAGTACTGTAAAGAATAAAAAACTACTAGTCCAACACAGATGGGCTCAAATGATACAGCATTTACTCAGCAGATATCACCGAGCACTGTATGCATACACATACTAGGTTTTTGGAAGACATGAAGATAAGATTCTGTTAGCAGTCTTTTCACTGCCGTCATGGAACACCCAACAAAGGAATGCAATGGATAAAAAGTTTATTTTGACTCATTGTTTCAGGGGGTTTTGGTCCATCATGGTGAGGAAGACATGGTGGAAAGACTCCAGCAGCAGGAACATGTGTCAGAAACTTGTTCGTGTTTTAGCTGGAAGGTGGATACAGAAGATAGGATCAGGAGTAGAACCCAGCTATCATTTCAAATACATGCCCCCAGTGACCACCTCTGTCAGCCAGCCTCATGTACCAAAGGTTCCACAGTCTTCCCCAAACAGTGCCTCTATATAGGGACCAGATATTTAAGCACATGAATCTGTGATGGGACATTTCATATTCAAACAGTAAAAATATACAGGCCACGATGGAAAATTCAATAGATAAATAGGCAAGAAAGAAGAGGGAGTGCATTGGAAGCAGAGGGGAAGATGTGCCAGCTCACAAAATAACAAGGATGTTACCTGGGAAGACTTGAGAGGTGATTATAAACTTACTTCTTGAAGGCAGTCAAACAGATAAGGTCAACAGAGATACTCTAAGTAAAACAAACAAGACATGAAAATTCACAGGCACAGAGCTACCTCTTTGGGTGGTCACTTTCTCCAAATCCTTATGCATTTAATTCTGGTTTTGGAATTACGGAGAACTTCACTGACTTTCCAATAACCCCAACTTCGGCCCCAGGCTAGATTAGAGGCCTTTATTACATTTTCATACTTTTCATAAATGCCACACTGGATCCCATTTCGACAAAGTTTGACCTTTTCCTTTTCTCCGAATCATTTACATCTCTAGTTAGTCATCTTCACAGCCAGATAAACAGTGAAAAACCTGGCTTAGAGTTGTTATTAAAAATAGGCAAGTTGATTGGGGCAAATAGAAGACTCATGTATGCCTACTTAGAGATGTTCGGGGTGATGACGGTAAGATGAACTGTGTAAGGTCAGGAGAAGGTTGCCCTGCCATTTGCAGACTCAGAGGTCCATGGAGAGCCTTGGATTGACGTAAGAGAAAGAAAACACAATGGTAGATATTGGAAAATAGAGGTTTGCTGCAGGAGCTCCTTCCACTCCTTCAGCCAATAGCCACTGAGATACCAGCCCATTGGGGCGTGGTCTCTCTCTCTCTTTAAAAAAGCAGCGGCTGTCCTCCACTCTCTCTCAGGCTTCCGGCTCCGCTTCAGGCTCCTAGACTCCTTTCCTGTTCGTGCAGAGGGGCTGTTGTCTGGGACGGTAATCTGTAAGTTTTTTCCCCTTTGAATAAATAACCATTCTATTAGTCATAATTCCAAGCTGGTGTGGGATTGTTTGTGACTTACGCTTTCAGAGGTTGGGGAAGACAAGGAGACTATATAGGACACCTGGGAAGTAATTCAAGCAAAATGCTAACCTCAGTGGGTTTGGAGCAAGGATGGAACAATAGGTGATTAATGCCAAAAAGCAAGACATTATCCAAACATATCAAAAATCACAACGTCATGGGGAGAGAAAAGGCAAGAAAGACTGAGGCAAATGTCTTGATAGTTATTGCTAATCTCTGAAAGTGAGAATTGAGAAAGGGAAGAAGGTTTTGGTGTTTGAGGACTTGAAAGGAAGGACAAGATGATAAATGTTTCAGTCTTGTTGACTTTCAGGTGGTAGCACTTACAGATGAAGTACAAGATCAAGACTGAGGATCTGGGCACACATCAAAGCACACAAAACTGGAAGCAATGAGGCATTCCAGGGAGACTGTAGAAGGAGCAAACCCAAATCTGTAACCTGGGTTTTTCTTCCTTGTATGCCTATAGATGCACAGGGTTCACTTGCAGAAAAGCCCATGGTTCTTTTTAAGGCTCTGCTGCTATTGTCTCAAACAATGAACTCTGCAGTTGCTTTTGGCACTGGACTCAATGAAGTATGCAGCCATTCCTGTTCATTCCTGTAGCTTTGGCTCTAGACAGATCCTACCATGAGGATATTCCACACCGGTGTCCATCAGAGCTCTTCATTCTCCACCAGGCCTTTGCCAATGGGCCAGTCTTTATTTGCACCCAGAACGTGGACACAGTTTCTGCCTTTTCTTTTTTCCAGAAAGCACAGACATATCACACTATGAATGGGAAGGGCAGATGACTATTCACCTCATCTGGGAACTTGAGAGAATCAAAATGCCATGCCACACTTCCCAATACCTCCAGGATTGGCTGGCCAGACAAGACTCAGTCACTCCTGGTCCTCAGGGTGTCCCTGACTATAGCAGGTTTGGAACCACATACTTTTCCCTAGACTACTACAGACAAGAATACAGATATGGTGAGGAACAAAGTCTTAACTCAGAGTGTGAAATCAACCTGGCCAGCGACTCTAGTCTCCACCCTAGCATACTCCATCTTCCATTTCACCACCACCAGGAAAGGAAGGAGGAAGCAGGAGCTCAGAGAAGAAAACTTTACTAAAGTTACTAGTGTCAGCACCCGAGTCCTGGTCGCATTAACAGCTTCATCTGGACCACCTGCCCTCCACAGCCCAGTTAAAGAGACAAATCATAGTGAAATGTAGGAAAGGAGTTTCAATGCAGTCGCATTGGAAAGAGGAACAGAGAAGTCCGTTGACACTTACTCCAAGCCCAAGTGCTTTAGGGTACTGACATAAAGTTTATATCTAAATAGACAGAACTACTGGACTGGAGAGGTAACTCAGGGGTTACATACATATCACCCACATCAAGTGGTAGCCACCCATAACTCCAATCCTAGAGGACACAGTACTCTCTTCTGGCCTCCTTTGGCATCTGCACTTTCATGTGTGCACTCTTACACATATGCACATGTGCACACACATGGGGGGTGTTAAAAATAAAACACCTAGCACATGCCTTTAAACCCAGCACTTAGGAGGCAGAGGGAGGCAATTCTGTTTGAAGCCAGTCTGGTCTCCATAGCAAGTTTCAGGCCATCCAGAGCTACATAGTAATACCCCATCCAATAAACAAACTAATAACTCTATAAGTAGAGAGCAAGAGATATACATAACAAAGCAGTCCTGGCCAAGGTGTGGTCTTGGCCACCATTGACCTATCATTGTTCGAAACTAGTCTGCCTATCAAGCTGTCTATCTCTTTTGGGGAGACAAGCTTCCCTTCTTGTGGGCACTAGGCTCCCTCACACCTTCTTCTTTCTCTCAGAATGGAAGAGTTACAGGGAAAATTCCAATTTCTTGGAGTCTGTTGTTTCAAAGGCTGATAGATACAAGGAGAAGGCCCAAGTGTCTCTTGAAACGACCTTCGTTCTCCACCCTTTGACTAAGATAAAGTACAGGACGTCTCCATTTCTTCCAATTCAATTGCAAAAATACTTCATAGTGATTAGACTAGGATCTTTTAATTCAGGAAGAAAGATTAGATGGAAGGGGAGGAATACTTCTTCTTTCCCAGAAAAAAACTAAGTGGTCTTAAACAAACAAAAATGTTGTCTGAAACAGGCAAGATTTAGATTAGACAGGCAGAAGAATTTCAGAAAGATCAAATTTGGAGACAGCTATTGGGGAAACCAAACCAGAGCAAATTACCCTGCCCAGGGACCTTGCCTGGACGGAATAAAAGCACCTTTGTGTCTCCTGCAGTCCCTGCCATGGAGCTTGGCGTGGAAAACCCTTTCTAGGAAGGCTTACAGGCGAGTTACACAGGGAAGCTTTCAGAGTGGGGGGGTCCCAGGAGACACCAGCTGCATTTCCAAGAACTAGGCTATCCAAACAAAAATCCTGGATCAAACGTCTTTACCTACATTGAAAAGGAAATCATTGGGTTTTCAGTCTGGGGTCTTGGTAGCCTTGTACAAGTCCCAATTCGGCCCAGGGGTAACTTTTAAAATGTAAAATAAGACGAGTATTCCCAAAGGAGACTTGAGGGGGACAGAGTAAGCCTTTATTTGCAATCTGAAGCCCGTGAGGAAACTTCAGCTCTGTCGACAAAGTGAAGTTTCCACTGAAAAGGAACAAAAACATGCAGAGAGGTTTGGCAATGACCGAGCTCCGCGTTTCAAAAAAGCTTTGGGGATACCAGGAAAGCTGAAAGGACAGCTAAGACAGATTTCTCCAACATAGGGATCAACAAGGCTCATAGAACATGATGTTCATACCTTCCACTTTGCCTTCCCGCAGTGACCTGGGTAAGAGGTGAAAAAAGACGTTTCTCTCAAGAGCAAGGCTGTTTGCTGGCACAGCTTCTTTTGTTATAGCGAAGACAGTGGCTGATGGTGTTTAGAAAGTGAACAGCCCGACACTGGCTTCAGTGTGCATTTCATTCATTCATTCATTCATTCAGATCTTAGTGATATCTGTTGAATGCCTGATCCCTATGAGCACTAAGGACATTGAGTTCCCTACTTTCAGAGAGCTAATGTCCTAATGTTTCGTTCATATAAACACACACGATGTACCAAGCACATCTCAGAACTAAAATATCTCCAGCACTGGGCTGGAGTGATAGCTCAGTCACTAAAGTGCTTGCCTTCGTCTGAGTTATGGCTGCTGAGCCCGTGTATAAAACACCAGGCATGACACAGGCTTATAATCCCAGAAATGGGGACATAGGGAGAGGTGAATCCCTGTGACAGAATAAGTAGACCTGACTTATTTAAGCAAGCTCTAGGCCATTGGAAGACCCTATCTCAAACAAAGCCAAAAACAATCAAACAAAACCCTTGGGATGGTGAGATAGGTGAGATGAGATAAAGGAGCAGCCACCAAACCTGATTAACTAAGTTCCTCTTCTTCAAACCCACGTGGTGGAGGCAGAGAACTGACCTTGAAAATTGTCGGCAGACCACACAGACACACACACACACACACACACACACACACACACACACACACACATGGGATAACTAGGAGGAGAAGTAGAAGGTCCTCTGGCCTCCACATGGACAATCAAACCCATGCCATGTACCAACATACACACACACACACACACACACGCACCTGTACATACATTAACACATGAACACATATATAAAAAAGAAAAGAAAGAAGAAAAGAAGGGAGGGAGGGGGAAGAAGATAGGAAATCTTTAATACTGGCTGTACAATTCAAAAGAGGAAGAATTTCATATGGCACATTTATAACTGATCGCATAAGCCTCATTATCACACACATTAATGCTATGCAAGAGCTACGTTGGTCATTGCGCCTTCTTGGAAGGAAATTCTGCACTCTGTTATACATTTGATGACTGTGTTTCCTATAGGCCAGCTTCTGGCTCTGGACATTACACATATATTTTCTTTCGTTTCCTCATCCTACTGAAGCCAGACGTATGGGAAACATCCACAAGGTAACAAGACATAAAGCTCTGAACTCTCAGGTCACAATGGCAGAGGGCAGTTGCTGTAACTCAGAAGGAAGCCATGTCTACACTAGGACAACTGAAGATAATTTAACTGAAGCAAAGAGACTAAAAACCACCTAAGAGAGGGGAGGGGCAGCAGTCCTTAATGATGAAAACAGCTAAAATAGAATGGTTTGCCAAAGACTATATAAGTGAACATATAGACTGCAAACCCCTTCCATGGCCTTGGGAGGCACCTTCTTCCTCAACCTCCCAGGCTGAATTTTCATCCTGGCAAATTCATATATGAGAAGACCTGCGTGATATGACCATCTAATGGGGCTCAACCCTTTGCATAGCCTTGAATAATTCCCCCTTGGGAGAACACAGAAGGCTTCCAGTTGCCCAGATTCCAAGCTCTCAAGGCTGGAGCAGATTTATGTCCAAGACTCATAAACACAAACTTAAGTTAGGCTTCTTCAGAAGTTCCAGTAAATGATACTAAGTTGATTAATCCTTTCTTCTGTCTTTGGCCTGTCCTTCTTCCTATCCTCCTTTGTATAATCCTCCTGGTGTTGCTTATTGTTCAGAGTCTCCTCTGCTGACTTTCTATGCTGTCCTTTCTGATCCTCAGAATCTTCAGCTAAGTCCTCCCAGCTTTCTACCCACACTTTACTCTCCCAGTGGTTCCCTTCTCCCAT